TATGGGATGCCTAATGTTGTGGATTGATTGAAGTCGGACATTAACACTACCGGAGTCTGGGTCAATGGTCTAAAGGTTGAGAGTTCGATCGTGAGACCGAACGTATTGAGTTCGATTCCCATGTACGTGACCACGAATCTACATTGCTGATGAGTCCTACACTAGGATGAGACGGCATTCCGGCGATTCCAGATTTACAATGGTAGTATAGCATTAAGTGGTTCATGATTTCAGTGAATTTATAATGTTTCACATGCTATATTTACAGCATGTAACATTGGGTAAACAAAATCCAGTCATTATACCACGTAGACATTTTTGCTAGAGAAAAACGTCAAAAACAATTAACCATATTGAAACATTGACAGAAAGTGTATATGCTTTCCTTCTGAAAATAAGTGTTTTTATGTTTATGACTAATGGTTTTTAATCAATCTCTTGTTATTTGTAAACACTGTCTAAGAATTTACAAACAACCTTAATGAAAGTAGTTTATTTGGTGACAATCTTCACAATTAGAAAACGAAGATTAAACAACTTAAATCTGATCTTCACTGAATGAAAATAAAGTTAATTAATTTTGCCTGGTAAAACAATAGGTAAATATACTACTATTGGATACAAGCAGTATGATTTCACTTATATTAGGTATATCAGCACAACGTAAAAATCAAGCAGCAGATGAATCCGTTTATAGCTGAGGTAAACTTCTAAGTTGGATAGGCTTTTGTGTTACAAATTACATGATTAATTTTCAAATGATTTACAATGTTGCTTTTCCGGTGTGTATCTAGACTGGTTGGGTTTCTATGAAAATCCACTTGGAACAGTAATTAGATTTTGAGAGCATATATAGTTAATAAACGTACCTATTTAGACATTGTAGCTTGCAAACTTTTCATACATCACATCAACTGATATTTAGTCTTTTCAAGAAATGATAAAAACGAACACAGGAAAAACAAAAGCCGACAGAAAATTGTTTTTCGTCTTTTAGGCTCTCAATGAAAATATTTATAAATAAAATTGTGAAGGGTTAATAGTCAAGAAGATATGACTTTGTTATGTTAATTACTTACTTACGCCTGTTACTCTTAATGGAGCATAGGCCGCCGACCAGCATTCTCCAACCCACTCTGTCCTAGGTCTTCTTTTCTAGTTCCATCCAATTCCTGTTCATTTTTCTCATGTCTATCTCCATTTCCCGGCGTAATGTGTTCTTTGGTCTTCCTCTTTTCCTCTGACCTTGAGGATTCCATGTGAGGGCTTTTCTTGTGACGCAGTTGGGTGTTATGTAATCTCATATAAAATTTTTGTTGATTATAACATAAGTGGACTTTCTTCAACTTTAGAATGGTTCATGATAAACATCGACAAAACAAACTGATTAATGATGTACTCTTTTAACATCATTTAGGGTTATACTGAAAATGAACGGCTTTCCATTGCAATTGTGAACACAAAAGTTTCAGTTATAGATGACTTGCTGAGAAATATTTTCATTCTCATTCACAAATAATTTATCAGCATTCAAAAATTCACTCAACCTATATGAGATTTGAGATGTTTATAACTGTTGATTAAGGACTGATTAGTAACTCAAAGGATGAAAGTGAAAATCTCGTGTGTGATTTATTTGAAACGTCTTTTTTAATAAGTCTTCTACCATAGAGTGTTTATAGTATTCTATCACCTGTGATATATATATATATATATATATATATATTAAATCTGTATTAAACTTTTGTAATTGTGTTTCTTCAGTTTTCCAGTGTTTCTTTGGCTTTACGTTCATCTTGGCTACCATCAACCGGTGATCTGAATCTATGTTAGCTCCCCTCTCTGTTCTCACGTCTAAATCATTGTGATGTAAATATGATCGGTCTGGTTCTCTATGATCCAGCGAGACCCGTGTAGCTTGGTGATTTCGTTTGTAAGGAATATAGTACCACCTATAACCATTTTGCTGAAAACACCTAAGTCTGAGAATTTCTCGTCATTCTCGTTCTTTCCTTCCTATCTGTCTAACCATGATATCTTCATACCTGGTGTTGTTCATTCCGACTTTGGCGTTTAGATCTCCCATCAGGATGGCCAGGTCTTTTCCTGGTCTCTTCTCTGTGACCGACTTCAGCCTTTCCTCATTGATGGGCTCATCGCACTAGATATCATTCATTGCGATTCTTTCTTTCTTCATTTCGAAGGATACTTTGATGATCCTGGATCCATGAGATTTCCATCCTATAAGCGCTTTTTGTGCTTCTCTGGACAGCCTCTGTACATCTCTTCGTGTGCGAAGCGTTTTCTTCTTTATGATCAATGCCTAGCAATACCTCGCTCGAAGCTCATCTTTTCTGTCCAGTTTGGGATCAATAGGTTTCACTCATTCCGAGAACGGATAAGTTGTATCTCCTCATTTACGCAGCCATTTAATAGGTCCTTCCAGTCTCCCACATTGTCCAGGCATTCGATGTACTTAAATTAATTGTTGCTCTGGCTGTCAGAAGTGGGTTGGCAGTAACCCTAAAAGGGCTACAGGCGAATATATATATGGGGGGAAATGAAATATAAATGTTGACTGGTCAGATATATGGTCACTCGGAATTTAGACCATAATAGGTGAATTAGTCATCTAATAACTGTCTTATTCTTCTTAATTTCGTCTAAATACATCGCTTTTAATGGTAATACAAGTCGTAGAAATTTTTCCGTTTTCCACCTCTTACTGCCTTACTTAACAGAAGTGTTAATTTTAGGTGTAGATTCATGGATATGTCGTATTTACATTTATAGTTGATTGGTCGTAGGGTAGTAACCAATGTCACGTTTGTTTATTTCTTAGTGTTGATCAGACTCTATTAATTAAGTTGTAATGCAGCCGGTAGTCTTAGCGATTTAAAACTGTGTGCATTAATTTGAGATGTCTGATGTCAACATTGAAACCTGGAAGATAGAATTCGATCAGCATTAAAGGACTAGATGAATATGACATTTGTTATAACTCAGTGATCAATTCTTATAAATATCTTAGTCGATGAGAGGTCAGTTGCAACTCGAATAGCTAGTGGTAATATCTCAAACTATGAAACTGAATAGTAACACAAGTAGCATCAATTCCCTGAAGACTACAAATACGCCATGATGAGGAGTGCCAACTAACACGAAACCTAAATCCAAGAGTATCTTAACGACTGCTTCCAACCACTTAAGCGTCATTTATAAATGATTATCACCTTTTTAAAAAAAATAAACTAAAGTTCACCGAAAAAAGTATTGTGGATAAAGAATTCCTTTTTACCGATAGTATTAAATATTTGGAGTTAGTTTTTAAGCTACATTTATTTATTCAGTATTAAGTTACTTAAAGAAGGTAAGAGGGAGTTCATGATTTACAAACATTTTGTGTTTTATTTAAAAATATCAAGTACATTAAGACTCATTACCGTATATTGGCATGAATTTCTAACATAACAACCTAAATTTAACAAAGAACTACTGACAACCTTATCTCTGTTTATGTAACTCCAAACGTGTGTAAATATGGTTTCTCCAAGATTTCATACAAGCACATTACTACTAATTAAATAAATAAGTAGTAAATCATTTAATAATCTAACTGAATCACTCTAAAATGTTATCAACTGTATTTCTTCACTTTCCTTGATTAAGTAATATGTCATCTACTTGATATTTCCAATATTTTCTAAAAGAAGGGAATCAGTTTTATAGGTGTGTTATTACTGAGTTTAGCAACAGTCGAATAATGTGGCATTTTATGGTTTTGAGAAATTTGAAGAAGTCTTTTTTATTACAGTTAATCAGTGTATATTTGGAAAGATTAAGCAACATCATCATCTACCAATAATTAATCTGGTTTCTTAAAATGGAAGATTAAAAAAAAATTTGTTATTGTAGTTATAAGTGATACAGAATGAACGAAATTAAAGATTGATTATGTAACTAAATTATGATTTGGTGGATATATTTATTCCATTATTGAGAGCTATTCCATCTATTTATGTAAGATATTTAAGGAAATGAAACTGGGAAATATCAATATTTAGACCGTCAAACTTTTACTGATAGTTTGGAAGTAGTAATAAAAACGTTCAAATGACTACTAAGCTAAATTAGTCAACTTTATGATTAATTGGCTAATTACCCTAGTTCTATATACCAAACAGGGAAAGTAAATCACTCGTCAAAAAAAAACACACAACAGTATCTCAAAGATAAATGTATGCAGTGTGTTTAATGACTGTAATGAAAAGTAGAAACCGTCTAACAGCCAGTTAAGAAACTCCAAAGGCCATCAATGTCAAGCTTGCGTAAAAACTTAATATTAAATTTAGTTAATTAAATCATACCATTAATTGTAAAGTAAGTTAGCCTAACTCATAAATAAAGTTAAGTAGATTTATTGCTCAATTTTTAACTTGTATTTACAGATGGGACTAAAATAATTAAAAAGTATATATGGATATAATAGAATATGACCACTTGATATAAATTTTAGTCAACTGACTATAGCTCATAGTAATTTAAATTGAGTGGAAATGACTCACATTTTCTGTAATAATTTCGCCGTAGACTTTATTACTTTCCCTTTTTAATGCCTAAACTGTCACTTTTTTAGGGTGAGTCATTTTAAAATTTAGAGGAGAGGGATTACTGTTATTTCTAAGGCATGAATAAGACAGGTAATAGTCGTCTTAGGGATGATTAGTCGACTGAAATATGTCCCACGTGAATTCATTTTCAACTAAAAATTTTCTAAATGCTCTTGCTCATGTGTGTGTATCGTACGCTCTGACTACTATGTAGACAGCGATATATCAGTTAGACCATAGTATTTTTACAGCTGTTTGGTTAATCGGACACAAGGCCACTGGGACAGGTCTATCTTGTTATCAAGGCTAAATTCCTAGCCAATCAAAAACATCCTCTGAGTTCAATAAGCCATTGTATGAGACAAATAGCAATTTCTGAATCAGTTCGGAGCTATTTGAGGTGAGCACTTCGTCCTCTAATGTAGTCGTTCTTGAGCCAGCGTGTAATTATATTTGGAGTTGTACTTTATACTTCCTGACTTTTTCAAGTTGAATCTATATCAAACGAACATGACTGAAATGATGGCAATGGGTTATGAAGGGTTTTATGATATGCATTCTAGTCCATTAAAACGTGAAGAAATTTATGATTATAAGGTAAGTTAATTCCAAATAATGTGGTTTTTTCGTTTAGTTGTTAGTTGGTTTACAGTTAGCATTTTGTATCGGAAATATCTGAAGGGTTTTCTAGTTAGTTTAACCCTTTCTTTTGTTTTTCACACAATGATTTGCAACTTACCGATCACATTACTAACAATTCACTTCTAATTTCTTTGTGTTACTCGAGAGATCTAAGGTTACTCATATTCATGATGGATCAGGCTTGCCAGTGGTTTCTTAAAAATGTGGCAACCAGTATTTCATCCTTCGAAAAACAGTTGATTGTGGTATAACCATCAAAACGAATGGTTCCACATAATGGTTTATTAGTCCATGGTATACTGTAGCCAACTAGCTTGCATTTTTATGCATTAGTTACTTGAGTGCTGAGTTTCGAAACTCAGAGTATGGCTTAGTTCTTGTTTTTCGACTCAGTTTTGTTTTTAATGATACTATATATTGTGATACAACATCATCATTTATATTGGTTACGACAGAATTACCCATGTACGGATATTGAGGCAGCGGAATATCCAACAAGTAGTAATTGCTTAAGATTACGAATATCCTGTAATTAGAGATGCTTACAGTAATTCTATGAATATTTCTTCATACTGGAAACCGATTACTGCTTAGAAGCGGTAATTAACTCGTAAGTGAGACCCTATTGTATTAGAGGTCAGCTACTAACTTTTTTCGAGAGGTTGGAGTGAAAATCGATTTGTACATTTATATATCTTACTATGGTGTGTGTTATTCATGTTACGATCTTTCTCTTATGACTAAACGCGGTTACAAAGCTGGGTTTGTTATTCATTTTATTCCCTCTCTTGGAACTGTTACCTATATATTTCTCTGTAATGTTTCTCAATCCTTAAAGAACAGTCCTCGTACATTAAAGGTTCTATCTCTATGATTGTTTGTTGTCAATCTCCAAGGATTTTGGTCTCAATGGATTTTTCACGCTAGTATTTCTAATCGATAATTAAATATGTGAATCTCGTCTTTTCACGTTCTTAACTATTAAAGTTTTTACCAAACTGTATCTCCAAGGTGCATTAATACATGAGTTGTTCAGTGCAAAATATTTTACAAAGTAAAGTGAACGGATGAAGTCATATTTAACTGTTGCATTAGGAATTATTATGAACTGTAGCAAACTTCTCCTCCTCGTTTAAATCATTGTGTGATTCGTGAATGCTCTATCTAATCATCCACAGAAAAGTGTACATAATCTCTAAATGTATTTCAATTGTCCAAAAAGTTTTTGGTTCATACTACAGTCTGGTTCTATGAAACTTTTTCTATTAAAAACTGTTTTGTCGGTCTAATCAAATTTAGGTACAAAGAATTATACACGTCTTACTTGATTTCGATCATTTAGAACTGAACGATAATAGCCGTAGTATACATACATCTAATGGAAATTTAGTTTAGATTAATCTTCAAGACTAATAGAGTTGAACTAAATGATTTTGAGCGCTTTCAGCTGCAAACTGATAAGAAGAGAACCTTTTAAATTGTAAACATTTACCTCCGGTGTGACTTACGACGACTTAGTAAAATATCCATCAATCTATTCGGAAATTTCTTTTAAAATCTTTCTTGTAATTGAACGAACGAATAAAATTCACTTTTAAGATCACTGATACTCACTTGTATAATCATTGTTGACCGTTGCATTACACATTTCCGAATACCAAAAAATCGAGTATACGAAGAGAAAAAAGCATTAATAGTATATTTATTTTTGCAAATTTCGTTGTTTTTATGCCACTGATTTGTGAGGTCTTAATTATATCCTAAAGGAAATGACTCAACCATTAATACACAGTTTCAAGATCACTTATTTACCCGACTCATTGTACCATTGCTTTGTGTATTGGATGACTCTACTTAAAACCTCGCTAAGTTACTGTTTTATAAGTCTGAGTCTTTCAATGCTTTTCAAAACATAGCAAAAACGGATTTTCAATATTTGAAATACTTTGATAAAGTCTAAGTAATCAGTGTAAATGGCTTCAGAAGACTGCTAGCAATTGTTATTTTATTTTTCATTTGAATAACTAGCATTTGTTTGACATCAGCCACTCTGAATGTCAACCGAATGACATTTGTTTGTTGACGAAAGCAGGATGTTATACGTTGTAATAATTGAAGGAGATTGATTGACAATCCAAATGATCACATTATCTCTTGATAAATAGTATACGTTTTAGATTCAGTTTGTCTATCACAGTAAGGCTATGTATCTGTTTAATGAATTAGTAGTTAAAAAGGCACTCAAAGTCTCTCCACTCGATATTGAGAACGACTTATATTATTGATATGTATCTTTGGTTCATCAGAGTCTAAACTTTATTTGACTCACTTTTTTGATTTCAATGAGATTAGAATGTTGATGTTTTGAAGTGTTGTAGCTGTTCTTACGCTCATTTTAGGTATATGGAACTAATTTGGAGTGTAATTCACTCAGCTCCCAATGTTACTTTCAAAATATTAAAAGATTTCTCCGTTCTATTTACTTTGTGTGTTGTGTTAGAAACAATATTAATTTTGTGTTAAAATTGGTAGATATACAAACTGTCAGGTAAACAATCAATAAAAATTCAATAAACTGTTGGGAAAACATTATTTATTCTACTACCATACATTTATTTCTCCCTTATTTGAACTGAGCATATATATATATATATATATATATATATATATATATATATATATATATATATATATATATATATATATATATATATATATATATATATATATATATATATATATATATATATATATATATATATATGGTTTTAGAGATTAAAAAGCTAAGAATAAACCACTACCTAGATAAAAATTTAAAGATTACAAAGTCAGTGATCTGTTAGTAAGTAGAGTGATATGAACTGAAATTTTTTCACAACATTATACATCATCCCTTAAGCAAACTAATCGACTGTCAAATACAAAATACAGAGATTTAGAAACTAATTTACAATATATATATTTTTTCAACACTTTTTGTCATTTTTATACAGTATTCACATTGTATTAAGTCATCTTTCAGGTTGAATAAGTTAATGCTTCGATGAAGTGAGAGTGTGAAATTTTTCTTACAGTACAAAACTACTCAGATTAGAATTAACTAGATACAAATTATCTAAACATTGTGGGACTTCAGTCCGATCACAGAGACATCATATGCGTTCATATGAAGTATACCAAGTTTATAAATAGATTTATCAAATTACATTTATGCTTTTATTTTTACAAGGACAATTTATACTCTGAAAGTTGAAGTTTATGATTTTATATGAAGAATTAGAATGAACTATATAGTGTCACACAATGAATAAACTTAAATTTACGGTATACACGTTCTAAATTCCTATGAACTATCTGCAACATTAAACCGAAAGGAAATGTTTGAAGAAAAATAAATTGATTTCCATTAACATCTATGAATTGTTATAATCTCTAAGGTAATTAAATTTTCGAGTTACATAATGGTGTTAGAAAATATTTGAGCAGTTAATAATCAGAATCATGTATCAGAGAAGTATAATGATTCATAGTCCGTTTCTACTTTTTTAAAAAGTAGATATTCATTCTGAACTGAAGTGTTATTGATATTAGTGTGAAGTTTTTCATTTTAATGGGTCCAAATAGGTTTTTGTATTGAATTTACGCTTGTTTTCTTGTACTGATATTCATGTATTTATTTGAACACACGGGATTTGAATCGACAACTGCAACTCTGTGCTAATGTAGTGTGGCAACTCGAATTGATGTACGTATGTACGAAGTTCTACGTTGTTACTGACTGATATTGGTACAAATGACCAGCAAAGTAAATATGTAACACACAAATACAACCGTGAGATATTGAGAAGATGGTTGAACGAGGGGTAGTATATTCAAAATAAATAGATGAATAAGAGGATAATAAAATAAACGAACGAGAAAAGTTTATAATAGGAGAGACAGTTCGGAATGAAAAATACAAAAAGGGAAAAGCCTTTAATTTTTATGAATTATTTTCACTTTTATGAAGAGAGCAAGTGAAAATTACATCAGGATAGCCATTGATTTCTCTTCTAAACAACTTTTCTGGTAACATCTAAAGTCACTGATTTGCACTATCCCCAAGCTGATAGTTTGTTACAATGAAGTTATGAATTTATAAACTATTGTTTATATGTAACTGGTTTCTGTTATCTTCTGTTAAAAGAATTTTCATGTATACAACTAAAACACTTCACATAATTATCATAGACTATGATTTTTATGATTTCTAAATTCCACAGTTGAATTTTATATATTTCAACTGTTAAAAGATATTAAGTCATATCAATTCTCGATTGAATTTCATTTACTATAAATATGTAAAACAAGGGTTAATTATTAACATCTTACGGTGGAAATATTGCTGACTCATATCGAAATTTCCTTTATTCCAAATGATTTAATTGTAAGTGTCAGCTCAGTGGTATTGAGTCGACTTCTATAATGACAGCATGTATGACTGATTGACTTTCTGAAATGTCTGAATTGGTAATTTTTTCACGAAATCAACTAACAAACGAATAGATTCCAAAAGAGCCACTGCTCAGTTGATGTTCGTTAAAGCTGTCATTTAATAAAACATTAGACCAATATATTATGATCGGGTTACTTAGATAGTAGGTAATTTATCAAGATTCGGGATTCTGCTAACTCCTATCCATCCCATCATTTCATATATACTACTGAAGTGTGTGAAGTACTTTCTTGATTTATGTAACATAATTCAAAGTTTAAACTATAATAGGCGGAAAACACCATGTACTTTACAGAATTCAAGTTCTCAAGTTGTGGAGATATATATTTATTTACTATGATAGTATTCTCGATCACATTATCTCATAAATTGTATTTGTAAAGTTCTAGTGAACGGATAGATGTCATGTTACTGTTTTACATTTTTAATACCACTAAAGACTTTATTAAACTGTTTTCACTTTGACTATATTCTAGGACTGATTACTAAACTTATTTTTCAACCTATGAGGATTATGTATTATAGTTCCAGTTCTTTTTAGTAATATTGACCTTACTGAACTTATGGACTAGTGTTTGTTTCATTTTGTTGAAACTGTTAATATAAATCCAGGAATTTTTGATTTTTTATTGTCATTCGGATAAAATCGGATTTCGACAATATTGTTTAATATGTGGTTAATTGCAAAGGACTTATTAATAAAAACAGTTTGTTGAATCTACTTGTAACTAAAAATTCATCATTGGAATTTTTCAAATTGGTTCCATTTTTATTTACTGATTGTATTTAGTATTCATCAAACTAAAATCTTAATTGTTATCAACAGTTGTAATATGACTATTATTTAAGTAATGAAAACTAAGTTGTTTATTGGTATATATTTGGTGCAGTGAACATTTTGTTTGGTGTTTTGACTAAGTTGTATTTGTTAAATATTATATTGATCAATTGCTAGGAGATCGTATATTTTTCTAATAGGAAGTTTGAAGACCTAAGTCACTTGATGATTGTTTTTCTTTGAATATGCTATTAATTTAAGTTCACTGACAATGAAAAATGGGTAGCTTGAACAATGTTTTGTGATCATCTAAAGTTTTCCTCTGGTCTTCACCATCAATTATTTATGGTAATGAAATAACGACTATTTGATTAAATAGTATAACAGTTACTATGTTCAATCATACTGAAATTCAGTCATCGTTAATTATATAGTTACTATTATTTGATTTCATGTTTCACTAAGTTGTATATTTAAAACTGATTTGAATGTAATGATAGAAATGATTTCATTATGTTAAGCGTGCTAATATTTTGGTTGATGAATATGTCTTTATTACAATTATTATTGTAAATGACAGTTTAAATAACAACTCTTTTTTAATTGGATTGAACTACGTGTACGTTCACTGAGCCCATTTGATTAATGTTACTATTTGATTTCTTGTCTATATTGACAGAATATTGTCATCATCAAATGTTGTTTTCTTTCAACGACAAAAAGTAGCAATCAAAGAACAAAACAATCTGTGATTAAAAGCCTTTAGATAATATATATATGGTGTCCATATTAGGGTATTAAAAATATTCGCAACTATCATGTGCTCACTAGTGACTAGCTTCAAAATGAATCGTCTGGAATTTGAGTGAGAAGCCGTGACCAGTGGAGTCCATTCCGTGACGGCTGGAGACAGTTATCCACCACAATTGATGAGGGGTTACTCAAGGTTATGAATTGATTGAAATTAGACATTAACATCGTTGGATGCCGGGCCAGTGTTCTAGAGGTTAAGCTTTTGCGCGCGATACCGACAGTTTTGGGTTTGAGTCCTGTATGCGGGATCGTGGATGCACACTGCTGAGGAGTCTCGTACTGGGACGAAACGGCCGTCCAGTGTTTCCAGCTTTTCAATGGTGGTCTAGCTTAGATCGACTCATGAATTCAACCATTTGATATATGGTTGTGAAAAGCATTATGGATTGTATTGATATATTGTTATAATTGCAATGGATATTCACGGAATACTTTATATTATGTTATTCCGAGAGATGTAACAGTTGACTGAATTGTTGACTTATTGAATCCGGTCCCCCCCCCATTAATCGTATCGTTTACTATTAAGGGATAAGTTATTGATTTTTGTAAATAAAGAAAGTGGTTTTTGAATATTATTATCTTGATTATATGTTGTGTTGGGTATTGACTCTACTCAAGTTTTTTCATTCTTCACTTCTCTCTATCTCAACAATATCAACTTCCACAGTCACTGTAGGTGTTGTTTTGAAAGTTGACATAGATTTCCTTGATAGCAGGATTTGATTACGCATAAATTTCAACTGCTTTCAGGTACTAGACAAGTTCTTTTTCAACTTCACTTATGATGTTCACAATATTCTTTATTTAAGGAGATTTTTATATAAACTTTCCAAAACCTGTTACAGGTGTTTGGTTAATTGCTAATCAGTTTTGTTTAGTTTGGCTATACATCGTAATGATGAAATAAAATATAAAGTATTCTTTATATGATGTGTAATGTTAATAAATAACTAACAGGAAGGAACGAGTTACAAATTTACACTCTAATGGTTTAAGTGCTAAACAACTACTTTACACTCGGGATAGATGGCTGTTGAAAATAGTTATGCATAGTTTTTAAAATCAGTTAAATCTTTTATATGAGGAGCTTTTTGAAGAGAGCAAGAACAAAACATTCTAGCAGAATAACTCGAATTCATTTTATTTCGTTTGGTTCTAGTTAGCTGTCTATAACTTGTGAGATTTAAAAACATAATCACGAAATAGGCTTAAATTACTTACATGAAGGAGTTTAGTTAGAAGTTATTTTGATGACACATCAGCATAATATAACAAGGGTGTATTTACATGAAAGCTATAGGCCAATTTTTTTTAAAAGAATCCAATAATCTTTTGAGTAAAATCATTTGGATAATGATTTAAACATCAAATGATAAGTTTACTTGAAATTATAACACCTACATCCTTTGGTTTGAGCCTTTGGGCAGTACTACAGTCCTCACACAAATTAATGATAACTACTACTGACCTCATTGTTATTGTGTGGCGCGTGTGTTTGATGTTCAAATAAATAAATAAATAACAAAATAATTTAATACGTTACCGTAAGGAATTCGGCAATTGATAATTTTCAATTTTAGCCTCTTGAAAAATAAAAAGTCATACTGATGTATTTTCTTTTTTACTTTGAAAATTTTTTCAAAGTTATCCTAAACTTCTCGTATTTTAATACTCAGTTGAGTAACAATGATACCGAAAAAAACGATTTTCACCAACTAAATGGATTATTTCCATGACAGTACAGTAGATTTAAATCATAAATGCTCAACCCCCTATAACATTAACTTTTTATACAACAGATTTTTCAAAAATGATTTTTATTCCTAGATTATTGGTAATCACAGTTACATATTTCTCTTTTCTTTTCTCTCTTTTTTTGTATTGAGAATTGATTTGAATATAAATTCTACATTTTTATAACGTTGGAATTATTATCAGCGTTTTTGTTTTTGGTAAACTGTTATTGATTGCAAGGATATAACTGAGTTTAATCGACGTATTATATGACATACAAAATGAATCACTAACAAATCTATTTTAGCTTATTCATCAAATGAAATTCTTGAAGGGAAACAGGAGCCAAGATATTTTGAAATTTTGACTAGATGTTAAGTATTCAGTGGAGCGTATTTATTTGTATTTAATCAATCCTCTAATGTAGTTTTCTATAGTATCCTATTAATTATACAAGTCCATGGATCATCTTTCTAGATACTACATATCAATTTATATCTAATAAAAAAAAAGCATTTTATTTTATTTTTAGTCACGAGGAACGTACATGTGCAATCTCTCAGGTTTAACATCACCTACAACTTCAGAACATTGTTCATCTATTGGTAGTAGTTTTCGTACGGAACAATGTAGCAGTAGTACTTCAAGTAATGAATATGAAAGTTTACTCGATTTAGATTTTATTCTTGAGAATAGCGCTACACAAAAAGCAAATAATGTATCTAATAATTTATATAATTGCACTTATTCTAATTCTGTTATGAATGTTAATTATTCTTTCGCTAAATCGCCAGTATCTCAACTACGACCTGTTTATTCAGATGTGATCTGTTCACAGAATTCTAATTCTTTTAGAAATTCAAATACAAAGTATTATTATGACCTTGGTTCAAATAATTCACCAATTGAAATAAAACAAGAGCCTATTTTCCCCGAAAATTCTGAATATAAACATTGTTCAGAAATCAATCAAAATAATTCATATAATTGGACTACAAATGTACCGAATAATTGTAACTATAATTCAAATTGTAGTGCAGTACTAGATACAGGGCATTATATACAAACTACAAATGATTCAAGAACTGGGGAATTGCAATCTCAGCATTCTTCCTCTTCTCTTGCTTATATGCCTTCGGTTATTCCAACAACAGATATGCCACCAGTAGATCCATACCAAAATTGCCAGTCAAGTTTACAAAATCAAGAGCAATCTTCTTTACGATTTTATCCCAATGTTGCAAATCTTACTAACGCTGTCAATGGTAATATTATGACTGAAAACAATATCGCAGCTGTTTATCTACCACAAAACAATCGAGTTGATCATTCTCAACTTCATCCTATGCCTCCAACTTGTTCCGTTATAAATACCATAAATGATAATAGTACAGTACATGCTGTCAATAATATGCAAGATTACCGCAGTGCAACACAAAACGCAAATTATTATATGAATATGTATAAAATTGATGATACAAATCTTCCAGTGAACACAACTTTTCGAGTACTAGCACCAAGAGCTGTATCACCCACTCAAAATCTTGGATTTGGACCACTAAATACCACATGTGATAATCCTGTTTACCGGAACTCTTCATTAGTTTCTACCCACATTAATAATATCGGTAGAAATAAAAGTTCAGCTATGGAATTAGGAATTGAATCTCATCAGGATATTCTTGGATGTAACATGGGTGGACCTGGGGAAGTTCCGTTAATACCTATGCGTCGGACACGTACCAATAAAACTAAGGGTGATACTTCAACTAAAGGAACTGGAAGTAATTCCACCGGTAGAACTAAAAAGTCAATAGCTTTAATTCATACTTGTCCTTTTAGCACATGTGCAAAAGCATATTCTAAGAGTTCACATCTTAAAGCTCATATGCGTGTACACACTGGAGAAAAACCTTTTCCATGTGATTGGCCTGGTTGTGCTTGGAGATTCGCCCGATCAGATGAATTAACACGTCATTATAGAAAACATACTGGTGATCGACCATTTCAGTGTAGAACATGTCATCGAGCTTTTGCACGCAGTGATCACCTTACTTTACATATGAAGAAACACCAAAGTGGTAACTAACTGTGTACTTAAATAGTTTGTATTATTAGATGTGAAATTATACTGTTTAACAAAACACTGAACACTAATTATACGCTTCCATTAATTTAAACCATGGTATTATTATTGTTATTGCTACTATTAATACTACTACTATTATCATTATTATTATTACTATCATCATCATCGTCATCATCACTATTCTCTTATTCAATTCTCAAGTTTAATCAACATCACATATGTGAACCATAACTTCCTGATTACTAACGCTCAGTATATACATGGGCAGCATTTCCTAGTGCATTTAGTAGCAAACGAACAATTAAAAAAAACATGTTATTGGGTCATCTGGCTTTTTCGAATCATCAGTGTTTTATTCAGTTTGGTGTTTATGTGGCTCAACAGAATTAACGTGATACTACTACTACTACTACTAATAATAATAATAATAATAATAGTGATGATAATACTAATAATAGTCAGTTTATGTATGGTGCAGTTTCGTTCTCTTCTATTATTTTGAAATGATCTAATCGAATTTTTAAGTGATGAAATTATCTCTTTGTATGAAATATCTTCGAAGTTACACTTACTGAATGTACTAATGGACCTACTAGACAATGTTTTTTTAAATCTTTCCCATCCCCTTTGTAATAATAATAATAACAACAACAACAAGACAATTGTATTTGTGTTTTTGCTAATGATATGACGACCATTATTAACCTCTGTGTGTTTCTCTCATACAATAAATAACAGTAATAGTTACATGTAATGTATATGTCTATCTGTGCTAGAGATTAGTTTGAAAATTAGAAAAAGAAAATGAAAGAAATGACCGGTTGCATTTGATCTTTCATCATTGTGAATGTTTTCTGTATTTGTTTGTTTTTCAATTATTTGACTACATTTAATTACATATCACGTCATTTTATTAACGAACACTATCACTACCAACTATTAACGTTGACATATCAAATTATATATCTTTTATAAAAAGAAAGTATTAACTTAGTAGGATTATGTGACAATCCTGTTGACGAACTCTGGCTGTGATTGCCTCCTATTCTTTACGTCTTTTTTTAATCAAGAAATTCCGATTGGTATAACCACATATCAATATATATATATATATATATATATATATATATATATATATATATATATCCGTCCATTCATCTTATGTAACACATGCATATCACGTATACATTACACTGTTATTGTGCTTGTTTGTTTGGTTTTTTTGCTATATATTATTAGTTTTGATGAGTATTTTCTCATTTTTAACATAACTTGAAGACTTGTTTTTTCACAATTAATGGTATTTTTTCTGTTTTGTTTTCTTGTCCACTTTTTACTTCTGTCGATAATTTGTACTACGAAACATATCAATTCATGGAATAATTATCATTATAGTACAAATACTTAGTGTGTGTATGTGTGTAATGCTTGTATGTGTACGGCTACAATGTTCATTTTACGTTCATTTTTGATAGATATTTGTTTTCCTAATTCACTTCATAATCATAATAGTGGGATTCAAGAATCTTTATTTCGGTGGCTGTGTTCCTCATCGTGGAGAGAAAAAAAATCTTTATGATGTGATGTACTCTAAAATTTTTCTGCCTTTGTTTTTTTTTCTAATATTAATTTACTGAAGACATACACACATACAGGGCTGTGAAACCAACCTTATACATACATATCGTGTACTTCTTCTTTTGAAGTATTATATAATGGTAAGATGGCTCACTAGTACTGATAAGCGAACAATAGTGACAATACTGAGTTTTGTTATTAATATTATTCTTTCTTATATATGCAATATCCTTGCAAATTTGTTTGACTATGTTGTTTCTTCTCTCTCATTTGTTGTTCATTTAAATTCATCTAACATTGAATCGTGTATTTGCAGGGTGAACATGATGTTTGCCGCCATTGTTTGTATTTGATAATGTTATATCACATCATTTATGATGGTTTTAGTATATATAAATATTTACATACATGTGTTTTTTTGCTATTGTTTCTCTGGGTTTTTTTTCAAAATGTGTGTATACACAAGTATAGTCTAGTTTATTTCATCTGATTTCCAGTCAGATCATCACAGTAATTAAACTACGATTTGGTAGTTTTAAGAACGTGATTTATTAATTAGTGTGTTAGATGCTTCCAACTTTATGATACTGGAGTAGTTTGTTTCAAGCAGCCAAATTGTCATCCCTAGCATCTGCGTATAAAATATGATATTGCTCACCGTAATCCTGTATAGTTCGAGGCAACATAATTAAAGTTTAATTGTTTTCTGGAGCAGTTGTTTTTGCCACGAAAACGTCATACAACCATTAAGGAATCAGTTCTACTTGGTATGATTACATTCTTTTAAAGAAAATAAATATTAACAAGTTAGTCATTGAGTAAAAGCGCTCATTAGAGAAATAGACTAACATGAAATGTAAAAATGATGTACGACTTATTTTCTATAGATTATTTAATAACTGAAATAATTGTCAATCTACTTTCGAAAAAATCCTGCACTAGTTTAATCTTATGACTTGTTAATTTATATCCGGATAACTAGATTTGCTCTGGCTGATATTTATCATAAAATTGAATATCTTAAAGTAACATGTAACTCAAGCAGAAATTCTCGACTATCATTATTTTTAACAAGTACATGACTGATATTTATCCGCATATTGTTTTCCGCCGGAAAAGCAGTCAGCTTAGATTTTACATCCTTAATGTTCGAAAAAGTTATACATCACACTATACGGTATAGTGATATGTCCACGTAATTCTGTCACATTTCTGCTATACAAGGTGGTATTGTGTCAAGGGGCGACGGTTGAAACAAGGATAAACAGTGAACTCTCAGAAGTTATGTATAAAGTTATTTAGATATAATGTATTGTGAATTCATTTTTAGATACCATATAAACAGCAATATGAGCACCATATTAGTTAGTGGGTAGTACTAAGCCAATAATTCACTTTGCTTCAGCTTATTATATCCTATGACAAGTGCCAATTTTACTAAATATTGGATATTTGCCTGTAATAATTTTGATTGTATGAAAATGTCACTTAATTGATGAGTCTTAATAATTAACAGTTTTAGATCTTTAGATCTGACATTATATTTTCACTGATAAATTAATCCCAAGAAGGTTCTAACAAGGAGTGAATGTAGTGTTGAAAGGAAAGAATAAATAGTATTTAGAAGATCAGATAACTTATGAAGATTGCGCGATCTGAAGTTATTTCTCATAACGTACTGACATCTAAACAGATACTAATAAGAATCAGGGAGTATTGGATAAGTTTTCTGTCCTAGTTTGAAATTCTTTAGCAGTGTGCGCCTACAGCTAGCTCCCGAATCTGAATTCAGGACCGGGTCTGGTGGGAAGTGTTACGCAATTAGATCACTTAGTCGAGGAGCTTACAATCCGTAAGTTAGACTTCTAGTTATATGGTTCTGTCAGCTACTTGACTCAGAAAGTCCAAGTACTATTGAGATCAATCATCTGAGAACGTAAAGATGAGGTTTAAAATAATAACTTAGACAAATAACTTAATGAAACTTTAGATATAAGAAATTTAGGTAGACCATTGGATTGATAGATATCGGTAATTGACAATCAAGCATAAGTCATTGTACGAAATAGTTTAAGCTGTACTCCAAAAGTAAAAGTTATTTGGGAAAGCGCCATTCATTAGTTGGCCAGATTTTTAATGAACTTTTGTTTTCCGCCTTTAGAATGGTAGGATTTATGAGATATCCTTTTTCAGAAAAAAAAGTCATATGAACAACTGTCATTTATATGGATTGCTTTTTGTGTCTGTGAAGTATGAGTAAACGGTAGATACAGCTTACAATTTGGATTTTGACCATTCAATAGCCAGTTAGCTAACCTATCGTAACGTTATATGTACCTAGAAGTAGCAAATACTTTGTTTACTTGTAGCGTTCGCTTGCAGCCCAAACGGTATTGTGTGACAAATTATACAGATAGGTTGCGATATTTAACGTGCCGTTCGAATGGCTGAATCAGCTGCGTAAAAAATCCGAAATTCCTATGTCGTACCTTCTCAACGAATTTATAAGAGTGATTGTTAACAAAAACCATGGTCCAATAACTGCCTTTTTGATCAGTACAACAGTTTACCATACAGGTGGACATTCGAAAACCAATAAAACACTGATCGATTACAATCCTAAACATCAATGGGAAGATTAAAACAAACAATGAAGAAATGAATCAAAAAACCATTCAGTTTATTAAAATTATCATTTATAAACTATAGAACTAAAGCAATAAAATCATAACATGCATAATTATACACTTAGAGGGTTGGGAACAGGAGAAAGTTATAATTCAGGCAATACTCCCCTATGGAAATAGAAGTTGATCATTCGCATAACTATCGACAACTACAGATTACAAATCCATGGTAATACTCTTATACTTATTGAATAAATTAAGTCATCTAGACTCAATATCTCAGGCGGGTGAGGTATCGAAAATAAAGGTACTATTTTTGAGCCCTAGTGAGAGTGTAGACACTGGAATGCAGATACATCTAACTGACGAGTCTTAAATGAGACAAAGCGTCAGTAATTGACTACACTATTAGCCACCTATCAAGTATACTACTACTCTAATATTTATTGAAATGAAATATTCAAAAAATGAAGAATATTTGAGCGAACAATTGTTTCAAACTGCATCATCGGGCTCTACAGTTATAAGTCCATTACTATGATATTTTACAAAGGCCAAAATAACGCATGTATTGATGAATTTGTTATATGTTAAAAATGGTGAACGTTTGCATCTGTTACGACATATATACTTCGAAAAAAAGTGAGGAGGTAAGAGGCTTATAATATTCAGCTTAGGTGTCCGGTGATCTAGTCGTAGGCTAAGATAAACATAGAGGCTGGGTACGTAAGTTTGGTTTGCTAGAATTGATCCAGATGGCTTCGGTTATGTAGAGTAGCCGTAATCTTGCTCACTGAAATAAATTTTTTGGAACTTGATCCAAAACAGAGAAAGCTTCCTCCATTTTGATACGATTTTCACTATCCACCAAATGAAACAGAATAGTGCTGTCGGTCGATTTAGCAACTTCTTTTCCCAACCGTGCTGGTACATGTTCACAAACACGCAAGGAGAAAGCCCTCTGAGTACGGTCTATATAGCTAGCGTCATAGGAGCAGTTGAATTGGTATACACACATAAAGGAGCCCATCATCGGTAGCCTATCCTTGATTTGTTGTGTAAGTACTGGTTTAGTTGAGAAAATTATATGTAGCTTGGCAGCGTGAAACGTCCTTTCAACAGGTCTTTTGAGTCATGTTAAAATATCACCCGCTATGTTCCCCTTAAAGTTCAGTTCCAGATAGAGGGGTTTTTTACTGACTGAGTCACAATTTATTATTTTCAATGTCTTCTACTACGAATTTTCTGACCATTTGTAACATATAACATTGTCAATTTCACTGATACATTCGTTATTTTGGCCTTTGTAAAATATAATCAACTTGAATTAGTTTATGTTTGAAGTTTCCTATTTCGGTACAACGATCAGACGAATATTTAATGATTCAACTTTATATGAAACTCAGTTTATTATTGAATTACTAATACTATTCAGTTAAACGAAGTGAATTTTGAGTAGATTATTCAGACTCCATATCCTTTTTATAGCTTGTACATTTCTTTCGATATTAGAAATAAAAATATAAGATATCTGGGAACCAATTCCTAGAGAAACCACATTTATAATCATATCTAATGTTAAATTGAATATTCTAAATATATAATTTCATATATATTTCTTTATTAGCTTGGTTTCTTGATAACTTTTGTCATATTCATCATGAAGAGCGAATAACTGAATTCATTAGTACGTTTTATCATAAATTTATCATTTTCTTAAACTAAATTATCATATTTAATAGATGAAACAACATATCAATTGATTATTTCAAAAATTATGGACTTCATTACAATACCTGATTTGAAAATTTTTGTAGAATTCGTGGATTTAAACATGCATAAGGTAATTGTTACAGAAGTGTTGTAAAGAGTTCATATAGTTTAAAGGTGAATTTTATTATGAATTAATATCAACTGTAGAACTATTAAATATAAGCAAGCATTAAACAACTATTCTGTTCTGGGAAGAGATTTCTTAGGAGTTACATTGATCAATCACCGAGTAGTAACCAAGGTCATATTTTCCAGATCAACTCTGTCTTCTCACTGTTCAATTAATAAATCTTGTTTATCTGGTTCTTAGTGTTGATCAAATTCTATTAAACAGATTATAATGTGATGACCAGTTTAAGTGCGTTATATCTTGAATTTGAGTGTTTGAAAAAATTCGGAAAGAAACCCTAAAACTTGTGGTCATGTTGAAATTCGATCGATAGAAGTCAACCAGAGCTAAAGGACTAAATAAACATGACATTAGTTACTACACAGTGATAAATGAAAGTAAATATCTCAGTCCTACAGGAAGCCAACCACACCCCGAATAACTCCGTGGTAAAATCTCAGGCTGTGAAACTAAATGACGTGCGTTCGAATCATACAAAGAGAAACAGTTCCCTGAAGATTCCAAGCATGCCATGCTGACGAGTGTCAACTAGTATGAAACTTAAAGCAAGAATTTCCTACGAACTACCTCTACACACCTAACATTCCTTAGTGGCGTTCATTAATGAATAACACTACACAAGTAAATAGCTTATGTTATTTCACATGGTACAACACAAAACCTTTTTCTTATTGTAGTGTATTTTGACAACGACAAGAAAATAAAACAAAAGATCGAGTATTGTTTTATAATTTAAGATTATAATATTTATATTTCACTGAAATAATCCAAAGTAAAAATAATACACAACAAATTGTTGAGGATCTAGTGAAATTCTTATCATCCCTGAACAGTTGACACCGGCATTGTGACTGTTAATATCTGAAATAAATAAAT